AAGAACCCACTTGGCTGGGAAGGGAAATCAGGGATTTGAGGAGAGAGGGGGTCCCATCCCACCCCCCCAACCCGGGCAGGAACAGGGATCCGGGGCAGGAGAAGGGACAGTGAGATGAACCAGCCCTGTCCCCCCAAACCCAGGGCACAGGGGGGCATTGACCCCACAGGGAGGGTCAGTGGGGGCACAGGGGGGCATTGATCCCCTAAAAAGAGTCACTGGGAGCACAGGGGTGTGTTGGGTCCCCAAAGAGGGTCTCGTGGGGGCCCAGGGATGGGGGCCCAGGGTGTGTTGCCCCCCAAGGAGGGTCAGTGGGGGCACATTGGGGCATTGCCCCCAGAGAAGGTCACTGGGATCACAGGGGTGTGTCGCCCCCCCCAAAGGGTCACGGGGGGCACAGGGGTGCATTGGCCCCCAAAGAGGGTCAGTGAGGGCACAGTGGGCATTTATCCCTCAAAAAGTGTCAGTGGGGGCACAGGGGTGTGTTGGGCCCCCAAAGAAGGTCACTGGGGACACAGGGGGCATTGATCCCCCAGAAAGGGTCACTGGGGGCACAAGGGTGCCTTGGTCCCCAAAGAGGGTCAGTGGGGGCACAGGGGGAATTTATTCCCCAAAAAGGGTCACTGGGGCCACAGGGGTGTGTTGGGTTCCCAGAGAGGGTCATTGGGGGCACAGGGGTGTGTTGCCCCCCAAAAAGGGTCACTGTGTTGCCAGGGGTGTGTTGCCCCTCCCCGAAGAGGCCGGGTGGGGGGTCCCGGGGGTGCCGTGCCCACGCTGTGTGCCCGCTCCAGATCTGCCAGAGCCTGTTCCTGCGGGGGCTGTCGCTGGTGGGGTGGTACCACAGCCACCCCTTCGGGCCGGCGCTGCCCTCGCTGCACGACATCGACGCGCAGATGGATTATCAGCTCAAGCTGCAGGGCAGCGGCAACGGCTTCCAGCCCTGCCTGGGGCTCATCTGCGGTACGTGCCCGTCCCCCGCGGGCACCTCGGGGGGCTGAGGGGGCCGTCCCACCCCGTGCCATCCCCCCCTGTCCCCGCAGGGCCCTACTTCCACGGCAACCCCGGCGTGGAGTCCCGGATCGCTCCCTTCTGGGTGATGCCGCCGCCCGAGGTGAGCCCGGGGGAGGGTTTGGGGTGGGGTGTCCCCCCGCAGGGTGGGTGTGACACCCTCGTGACACCCCTGTGACACTGCTGTGACACCCCCGTGACACCCCTGTGACACCCCCACCCCGTCCTCCAGCAACGGCCCAACGACTACGGCATCCCCATGGAGGTGGAGGTGACCTACATCCCGGACGGGTTCCTCACCAACGACGTGGTGCAGGAGATGGTGAGGCCCAAATCCCTGTGTCCCCCCAAATCCCTGTGTCCCCCCAGATCCCTGTGTCCCCCCAGATCCCTGTGTC